ATGTGATGTTTTGAAATGCTTTCACGCAGGCTGTTTCATCCATGTCGGAACATTTGTCAGTGCTTTGCTCCTTTTCATTGTTGGGTATTTTCCATTGCCTGTGCATGCCATATTTGTACACCGTATTTGTTTATCCATTTCTGGACAAATGGACACTGGAGTTGTTTCCATTTGGGGGTTATTTCTGAATAATGCTGCAATTAATATTCATGTACAAGTCTCTGTGTGAGCATATGTTTTCATTTCTCCGGAGAAGATTGCTGAGTCATATGGCAATTCCACGTTTAACATTTTGAAAAACTGCCAAACTGTCTTCCAACGTGACTGCAACATTTTATATTCTCACCAGCAGTGTATGAGGGCTCTAATTTCTGCACAGCCTTGCCAACACGGATTATGTCTCTTTGATTAGAGCCACACTAGTATCATTTGAATTTCCCTAAAAAGTAATGGTGCTGAACATCTTTTCATGTGCTTATTGGCCATTTGTATATCGTCTTCAGAGAACTGCCTCTTCAAATCATTTGCCCATTTCATTTTTTTTTTTTAAAGATTTTATTTATTTATTTGGCAGACAGAGATCACAAGTAGGCAGAGAGGCAGGCAGGGTGGGGAGTGGGGGGGAAGCAGGCTCCCCACTGAGCAGAGAGACCAATGTGGGGCTCAATCTCAGGGTCCTGGGATCATGAGCTGAGCCAAAGGCAGAGGAGACTTTAACCCACTGAGCCACCCAGGCGCCCCCACATTTTAATTTTTTTTTTTTAAGAATTTGTTTATTTGCAAGAGAGAGAGAGAGCTCCAGAGGGGGGAAGGGGCAGAAGGAGTCTCCCTGCTGAGTGGGGAGCCCAACGTTAATCCCAGGACCCTGGGATCATGACCTGAATTGAAGGCAGACACTTTACCAACTGAGCCACCGAGGCGCCCCCATTTGCCCATTTTTAAATTGGATTGTCTTTTTTCAAATGGATTTGAGTTTTTTAGAGTAGTTCTAGTTTCACACTGATTTAACCAGAAAGTACAGAGATTTCCCATATAAGTCTGCCCCCATCTACGCACAGACTCCCCCCATTATCAACATCCTATATCACAGTGCTTTGTCTATTACAGGATGACGTATACTGACACATCATTTTCATCCAAAGTCTATAGTTTGCATTAGTGTTCAGTTTCCATGTTGTGCATTCCATGCGTTTGGACAAAATATATAATGAATTTTATCGTTATACTACGATTAATACTATTTTCTCTATCCTAAAAATCCTCTGTGCTCTGCTTATTAATTCCTCCTTCCCCCCACTAGCCCCCAGAAACCACTGATCCATTTACTGTCTCCACAGTTTTATCTTTTCCAGAATTTAATATAGTTGGAATCATACAGTATCTAGTCTTTTCAGATTGGCTTTTATTTAGTTCATTTATTAATATGTCTTTATGTTCCCTCCATGTCTTTTCATGCTTGATGGCTCATGTCTTTTTAGTGCTGAAAAATATTCCATTGTCTGGATGGACCACAGTATTTTCTCCATTTACCTACTGAAGGACATCATGCTTACTTCCTCGGTTTGGCAGTTATGAATAAATGTTAGTATGGATACAAATTTTCACCTCACTTGGGTAAATATGAAGGAGTATGATGCTGGATTATATGGTTAAGACTATGTCTACTTTTCGGGTGCCTAGGTGGCTCAGTTGGTTAGGCATCTGTCTTCAGCTCAGGTCATGATCTCTGGGACCCTGGGATTGAGCCTGCTTCCTGCTCAGTGGGGAGTCTGCTTCTCCCTCTCCCTCTGCCGCTCCTGCTGCTTGTGCACTCTCTGTCTCTCCGACAAATAAATACAATCTTAAAATTTAAAAAAAAATTTTATTTATTTGAGAGAGAGAGGGGATAGAGAGAGCGCACATGCACACGAGTGGGGGGGAGGGGCAGAAGGAGGGGAGAAGTAGGCTCCCGCTGAGCAGGGAGCCTGACAAGGTGGGGCTCTATCCCACGACCCTGGGATCATGACCTAAGCCAAAGGCAAACCCTTAACCAACTGAGCCACCCAGGTGCCCCACCAATTTCAAATCAGATTGTTCATTTTCTTATTGTTGAGTTTTAAGTGTTCCCTGTATATCTTGGATAACAGTCCTTTATCAGATGTGTGCTTTGCTAAGATTTCCTCTCAGTCTGTTGCTTTTCTTTCAATCTCTTGACACTGTCTTTCATAGGGTGGAAGTTTTAAATTTTAATAAAGTCCAGCTTATCAAATCTTTCTTTCATGGATAGTACCTTTGATGTTGTACCTAAAAAGTCATCACATACCCAAAGCCATCTAGGTTTTCTCCTATGTTATCTTCTAGGAGTCTTATAGTTTATATAAATGGAATATAACTGAGTGAATACATTTTGAGTGTAGGATTTATACCTAGATTCAATTTTTTTGCATGTGGATATCTAGCTGTTTCATCACCATTTGTTGAAAACACTATGTTCTCTACACTGTATTGTTTTTGCTTATCTGTCAAAGATCAGCTTGTCTGAGCTCACTATTCTGTTCCATTTATCTATGTGTCTGTTCTTTCACCACTACCACATTGCCTTGATTACTGTAGCTTTACAGTGGTCTTGAAATTGAGTAGTGTTAGTCCTCCAACTTTGCTATTATTATTATTTTTTATTTACTTGTCAGAGAGAGAGAGCATAAGCACAGGGAATGGCAGGCAGAGAAAGAAATAGGCTCCTGGCTGAGCAAGGAGCCCAATGCCGCACTCGATCCCAGGACCCTGGGATCATGACCTGAGCCAAAGGCAGATGTTCCATGGACTGAGCCACCCAGGCATCCATAACTTTGTTCTTTTCCTTCAATATTGTGTTGGCTATTCTAAGTCTTTTGACACAAACTAACCTTTTATGAAGTCTTGTTCATGTTTCCCAAGTGAAAATACAGGGTGGGGAGGCATCAGAAATGGCCTCTCCCCTAGTTCTTTACATTCACTTTATTCCCTAACACTACATTTCAATAGTTTCAAAATTCCATTTTATAATTTTGATCAAGTTGTTTCCATTTTTATTTTTTTTTTAAGATTTATTTATTTGACAGAAAGAGACAGTGATAGAGGGAACACAAGCAGGGGGAGCTGGAGAGGGAGAAAGAGGCTCCCTGCCGAGCAGGGAGCCCCACCTGGGGCTCATCCCACAACACTGCATGACTGGGTGGAAGGTAGACACCCAACGACTGAGCCACCCAGTCACCCCGAGTGGTTTCTGTTTTTAAAGAGAGACTGGTTAAAAACAAACAGCTCCTAAAGACTGTAAACCACAGGCAACACAGGCTATTCCCTCTGCGGCTGCTGCCATGCCCCCAGGACTGTCAGATGATAATGGTGCGTGGCCCACTGACACGACAGGTTCGGAGGGAGTTCTTCTGTTGTGATGGGAAGGCAGAGGTGGCCCTTCTCGGCTGCCTCCTGTCATGGAGCACGAACCAAAGGACATCTGCACGGCACACAGGGTATCGGGGAAAGATGAGGCACATCTACCTGGGGCTTGAAGAAAATGATCTTTATATGAGGAAGAGAAAGACAGTGATATGGCACTAACTATTGAATTTGTATACCATTTTCCCCAAAAAAGTCTTCAAATGTTTCCCAGAGGAAGTTGGTCTGGCTTCCATAACCATAATTTCTTTTTTTTTTTTTAAGTATCAGATACTAGGTTTAAAATTTTTATATGCAATTCTTGATCATCGGTGTTCACTAATTCTCTTCTAGTTCTTGACAGTCACCCATGAGAGAAGTAGTTGATGAACGCAGGTGATAGGGGTGCCTGGGTGGCACAGTGGGTTAAGCCTTTGCCTTCAGCTCAGGTCATGATCCCAGGGTCCTGGGATCAAGCCCACATCGGGCTCTCTGCTCAGCAGGGAACCTGCTTCCCCCTCTCTCTCTGCCTACCTCTCTGCCTACTTGTGATCTCTCTCTCTCTGTCAAATAAGTAAACAAAATCTTAAAAAAAAAAAAAAAGAAAGAAAGAAAGGAAAGCAAGTGATATTTAACCTTCTCTTTTTTTAATAAAAAAAAATTTTTAAGATTTTATTTGAAAGAAAGGGAAAGTGGGAGAGAGAGTACAGTGGGGTGAAGGGCAGAGGAAGAAGCAGGCTCCCCACTGAGCAGAGAGCCTGATGTGGGGCTTGATCCCAGGACCCAGAGATCATGACCTGAGCCCGAGGCAGACACTTAACCGACTGAGTCACTCAGGCACCCCTTAATTCAAGAATTTCTAACAATTGGGGACGCCTGGGTGGCTCAGTTGGTTAAGCAGCTGCCTTCGGCTCAGGTCATGATCCCAGCGTCCTGGGATCGAGTCCCACATCGGGCTCCTTGCTCGGCGGGGAGCCTGCTTCTCCCTCTCTGCCTCTGCCTGCCATTCTGTCTGCCTGTGCTCGCTCTTTCTCCCTCTCTCTCTCTGGCAAATAAATAAATAAAATCTTTAAAAAAAAAAAAAAAAAGAATTTCTAACAATTGAAACGATAGCCTAGCAGCCCATGATGTTTTTCCCCTGGGCACACGTAATGTTGAGAATTGTGAAAATGTGAACAGAACCTGAATCCAAAAAGAATTTTTTTCAAGCAAGTCTGTTAGTGCTGAAGCTCCAGGGAGGTCTGCCCGCACCCAGCTCAGAGGCCACGGCAGCCGTGGACGGACAGATGGATCGACACGTAAGGCTGGAACGAAGGCTCCTCGGGCCTCCAGCAGCCTCCCTGGCCTCCCTGACCTCCCTGACCTCCCCGGCCCAGCCCCACCCGCAGCTCTCTCCTCACCTGGGCTCATGTGGCCATGGGTCTGCAGCTCAGAGGACCCACAGGGGAGAGGCCAGCCCCTGCTCTCCAAGAGCCCAGGGTAAGCTGCATGAAGGAGCTGATGGTTGGGTTTCCAGGGATCTTGTGAGCCATTATTAAATGTTGAATTACATAAAATTACATGAATCACGTTCAAAATCAAGGTGATAAATTCTCAAAACTCACCACAGGCTGATTTTACTACGTGACAGTTAGCTCTGCTCTCGAGGTGGTTTCCATCCATTGTATCTATATGACGGCAACACTGTGTGACAGTGTCTCCTACGTGCAGGACTTCCCAGGTGTGGGTTCAGTGACGTCTCACTGGTAGCTTCAGATCCGCCACGGTGAGAATGTCAACACCAAGGAAATCAGCAAATGCAGGAAATCGGCCCTTGACATATGGTTCCAGTCTCCCTGACCCTCGCCCCAGCTGTGGTCAAACATTTATCAGCACATGTCTGGCTGCATGACACCAGAGACAAACACCTAGAGGCTCCAGCTGCCCCGAGGGCTGAGGGCATTCCATTGGAACCATGCTTGGACCAGTGGCCTTCATGACACTGACGCATGCTAGAACGTCACCCACAGGAAGGAACCATTTAGTGAAGCTAGCGGGGGAGACTGAGCTGCCCTCTGCATCTGTGGGCTTGCCCAAAGCTGAACGTACTATGCGTGACAACTATGGGCCCCTTCCAGCTCTTACCTGAGCAACCTTCAGTCTTCTCCTTTAGCTCATCAAACCCAAATCTGTTACAGTCTCTGGTTACTCTGGTAGGATTCCCCTAGCTAGTGGAACCTGTCCGTGTTAAGTATTGCAAGCTTTGGGGCGCCTGGCTGGCTCAGTGGGTTAAAGCCTCTGCCTTCGGCTCAGGTTATGGTCCCAGTGTCCTGGGATCGAGCCCCACATCGGGCTCTCTGCTCAGCAGGGAACCTGCCTCCTCCTCTCTCTCTCTGCCTGCCTCTCTGTCTACTTGTGATCTCTATCTGTCAAATAAATAAATAGAATCTTTAAAAAAAAAAAAAAAAGTATTGCAAGCTTCGAAGAGGTAGGAGCTGCCTTTACTCACCCAGGCAGAGAGAAGGGACCTGTGCTCATGCAGACTCCAAGAAGTGAGAAAATTTTAATTTGTGATAAATAGAAAGAGTCTGTGCATGTGCGATCTGGAAAATGGAAAAAAAGAAAGAGAGCCACTACTGCTGTCTCTCCTCTTCCCCTATCAAGCCCAGACACACACAGTAAGACACTTAATTTTCTCCTCACTCAGCCAAGCCTCAGCGGGTACCATCCCTGTGCCCGGCAGTTCTAGGACCTGGGAATAGTGGTGAGCCAAGCACATGCTGATCCCTCCCGGAACTCCCACCTAACCTCCCCATCCCAGGGCGGGGTCGGAGTGGGGAGAGCTGTGGCCTGACGCCAGGCTGCCTGGCTTGGAGTTCAGGGTCCTCCGTTAGTGATTTTCTGGGCCTTGTTGTGCCCTATTGCAGCAAACATACCATCAACCCTCTCACAAGGGAGCAAGCTGTGGCAGGGTATTGTCGGAGTGAACAGCCTGTTTCCCGGAGTGCAGTTCCTGCTGATGAATGCACAAGTATGAGGTAAGTGGGTACCAATGTAGAATCTTAAAACCATTCCACAGCCCTCCCCAGTACTGAGATACATTTTTTTATCCCAATCTTCTGCTAGTAGATACCAGAAGCATATTCTTAACCAAAAAGTGTGCCGTGCCACCCAGCCCTTGTGGAGCAGACCCGGAATGCTTCCCCCTAGGGCTTAGTGGGGACAGTGAGCCCATTCACAGGAGATGGTTTTAGAGACGGTCCCAAAGAAGTGTGGCTTTTAGGTGATGTGCATTTTGCATAAAGCACGTTAATTAAATTTTAGAAAATTCAAAATTACGATTCTGGTTCTCAAACATCCTCCTGCAAAGAGCTCAACCTCCCTAGAAGACTCTGGGTAAATAAGGACATGGTTAATTCTGGTCTCACTCCCACCTGCATGTGGGCCCTGAAAGCTGATTCAGCTACCACAGGCCACCTCCCAGGGGCAGGGAGGTCTGGCTACTGGTCAAGGACAATCCAGACTCCTCAGGAACACACGGCTGAAGATGGGGCTCCTCAGCTTTTTAAAACACACACACCGCCCTCCTCCTTCCTTGGGAATTTTGAAGTTTCAAAATAAATTATAACTTTGAGATTTGATTTGAGCAGACTCTTCCACACCTCAGCCATTGCCCTAGGCACTGGGATCACTTCCAGAGGGTGGTTGGAGGTTTCTATGGTGTCAGCCTGGGGGAAGGCCAAAGGCAGATCAAAACCAGCAGCTGCTTGCTCTACTGAGGTCACCAGGCCCATCTCTGGAGGTAGCCCAGGCCCGACGCCGAAGCAGGACTGCAGTAGGGCAGGGCACATCTACACGAACAGACTGTCACCCGTGTGACCCCCAGTTGGGACACTGACCCAAACCAACCGCTGTGAAGGCACTTTTGAGACAACCCGTAAGTGTAACTACATACTGACTACTAGCTAATTCTGAAAAGGGGTTCACCTTGTGAGTGGTAATGGGCATTAAGGTTATGTAAGAAAATATCCCTCTTTTTTAGAAATATCTACCAAAGTAGGTATGAAATTATATGATATCTGGGATTCCCTTAAAATATTTAGCAAAGGACAGATGAATCAAATGTGGTGAAAATCTTGATTATCACTGAATCTGAGTGGTGTGGGGGGGTTGCTGCACCATAATTTAAAAACGTGGGGTGGGGCGCCCGGGTGGCTCACTCTTTGAGTGTCTGCCTTCAGCTCAGGTCATGATCCCAAGGCCCTGGGATTGAGCCCCACATTGGGCTCCCTGCGCGGTGGGGTGCCTGCTTCTCCCTCTCCTTCTGCTCCTGCTTATGTTCTCTCTCCCGCTGTATCTCTCTGTCAAAATAAATAAATAAGTAAAATCTTTAAAAAAAAATGTGGGGTGCACGGCTGGCTGTGTCAATATAGCGTGCAATTCTTGATCTCAGGGTTGAAGTTTGAGCCCCATATGGGGCATAGAGTTCACTTAAAAATAAAATCCTTCAAGGGGCGCCTGGGTGGCTCAGTGGGTTAAAGCCTCTGCTTTCGGCTCAGGTCATGATCTCAGGGTCCTGGGATCAAGCCCCGCATCGGGCTGTCTGCTTAGCAGGGAGCCTGCTTCCCCCACTCTCTCTCTGCCTGCCTCTCAGCCTACTTGTGATCTCTGTCTGTCAAAGAAATAAAATCTTTAAAAATAATAATAAAATCCTGGGACGCCTGGGTGGCTCAGTTGGTTAAGCAGCTGCCTTCGGCTCAGGTCATGATCCCAGCGTCCTGGGATCGAGTCCCGCATCGGGCTCCTTGCTCTGCGGGGAGCCTGCTTCTCCCTCTGCCTCTGCCTGCCATTCTGTCTGCCTGTGCTCGCTCTCTCTCTCTCTCTCATAAATAAATAAAATCTTAAAAAAAAAAAAAATAAAATAAAATAAAATAAAATCCTTCAAGAAATAAAAACTAAAAATGCAAAACAAAGAGTCGGTTAAGGCAATCACAGAATTCCTCAGCTCCTTGAAGTTACGGAGATGGTTGCTTCCACCACATTTTGCAGCAAAGGCTTTCTGTTCACATATAACAATCACAAGCTGGTTTCTGAGTTTGGGAAATGTCATTTTCTTCATGTTACTTGTTGGGTCATAATCCCCAAATCTTTAAAAGGTAGAGAATCCTCAGGAAGAAGGGCAGGAGGGAGAGAGGAAAAGAAGAGGAGGGAGGGAGAGAGGGAGGTAATGCTGCTCCCGGCCCTCACAGGGTGGCATGGAGCCCGAGCTGCTCTCTAAGGACAGAACCATGTGGCGCTCACACAGATGAGCAGCGAGGGCCTCTTGAGTGAAGGGATGCGGGCTGGATCTAAGCGTGGCCGCCCCTAGAACAGGCTCCTGACAGATCTTGGAGGCAAGATTTTAAATGTGCATGCACAGTTTTCTAGCGAGTGTTCAGTCTTCTTTGGATTCTCACAGGGATCTGTGTCCCTACAAGTTAAGAACCACTGCTCTTCATTCAAGAGAGTCTGAAAGCAAATTGGTTAGATTGAAGCTCTGGCCATAGACTGTCACAAGGAAAGATTTTTTATCTGAGAACATCTGATACTTTTGGAAAAGCTCCTGCTGGATCCAAAACAGCCCGCCTGATAGTCCATCTCTAACACCCGCCCCCCCAACCCAACAGCCTGGCCCTGCAGACAACACAGGCTCTGTCCCCAGCTGGCTCTGCTTCCCCCACCCACACCTCCAGCCAGCAGCAGAGTCTTGCTGCCACCCCAAACCAGCCGCACAGGCACGGGGAGCAAGGGTCCCCTAGTGGGAGATGCTAACAGCAGAGCAGGTAAAACGCATGGACACAAACACTCTGTTTATTTCGACCATGGCCAAAGTCAGGGAGAGACGGCAGAAGCTCAGTGCCCTAGAAGTTCTCCAGGGCTCATGGGTTCAATGACGGCTCACTGATGGCTGGGACAGTGCTGGCCTCCCTCTGAGGGCTGGATCTCCTGCCATCCCTGATGGGCTACTGCCCCGTGGGCATGGCCTCAATCAATCATTCACGGCTACCACACTTCCTCACCCTTTACAGTAGGAGAACATCAGTTTAGACACTCCTTTATTCCCGCAAGCTGCCGCGTGGAGGGACAGCAGCGGCATCGTTCAGTTCTGGCAGAGTCCCGAGATGGGGGCCGAGGCCTCAGCAGGTGCACAGGACAGCGCTTTGGCTGAAGGGCTGCTGGCTCCTCAATCCCACTGCCCACCGCCTGTCTAGCCTCCGGTGGAACATCTGGGATGAGGGCCCATGGGGACAGGAGCACATGTCTGCGGGCCCAGGTGAGGACCCACCTCGAGCAGCACACTTGTCTCTGTGGAGCGCTGCGTTCACCTCAGCGCCGGAGCCTCAGGAAGAAAGCGTGTTTACACTCTGTACTCTCCAGGGGGTAATACTTATCGTAGAAATCTAAGACGTATTCTTCAGTCTTGAAGCCAAACTTCTGGTAGAGCAGCATAGCAGGGTTGCTTGCTGAGACGTGAAGGGTTACATCCTTGCCCATGCAGGTCTGCCAAAAGGGTGGAAGAGTACCCAATGAGAATCAAAGAGCCTGAGGGAAGTGAGTAGGTGAGGGAAGTCTGTGAAGTGGAGGTAGGTAGTTATGGCAACCGGGGACAGCAGGGCGGGTGACAGCTGGGAGCCCCGGTCACTCTCTGCGGCCGAGGCCCACGCTCACGGAAACGCTCGAGACTGAGGAAATGGATGGTGCGCTGGGTGTTTTTGCTCTCTGGAGCAAAGAGCCCGGGGACAGTTTACTGTCAACTGGATGACTCTGTTTATACTTCAGTTACACTTCCAAATATCACACACATCAATACCTGACCCTCTGACAATCTTGAAGAAGTAGAGAACAAGATGAGCAGTTCTGCTTTTTAAAACTAGATGTTATCTTGTACTCAAACTTGTAACAATGCCCTTCCTACACCCACTAGAAAAGATGCTAAGTTACGAGGCTGGATACGAGGTATTGGGACTTTTGTCTAGTTATGAGACCTAAGGACCCGGTACAGACCTTCTGAATCCCACAGGCCCCCTGCCATCCCTCCCAAACTGACAGAACTGCTTTAGGTTTCTGTATTCAGCACTGCCCTAATCATGGGGTGGGGGGAAGAGTGACCCTCATCCTATTAATATGAGGCAAATTCTTAAGATTCTTAATCAGAACCAAAGTCATATAAACTAAGACCCCGCTTTCTAATGAGGAAGGCACCAAAATACTGAGGTTGGCA